CCACAACTCTTCTGGTCTTCGATCTTTAGTGTTTAATGTATCAAATCTGTTCTTCGGATGATCTCTAAATTCTGGTGGGATATATTCAAGGTCAATTTTGGCTCTTGTGGACTTGTTTTCATTTTCTTCAGCTTCAGTCTGAATTTGCATATGAGCAAATGATGGTCTGTTCCACAGTCTGCCCCTGGCCTTGTTTTGACTGATGATATGGAGCTTTTCCTTCATCTCTTTCCGCAGATGTAGTCAGTTTAATTTCTGTGAATTCCATCTGGTGAGGTCCATGTTTATAATTGTTTCTTATGCTTTCTAAAGAAGGTATTTGAAATGAACAAATTCTATCATGTGATCTCCAGCATCATTTCTATCACCAAGGCCATATTTTCCAACTACCAATTCTTCCTCTCTGTTCCCAACCTTTGCATTCCAATCATCAGTAATAATCAGTACATCTTGATTGCATGTTTGATCAATTTCAGATTGAAGAAGTTGGTAGAATTCTTCTATTTCATCCTCACTGGCTTTAGTGACTGGTGTGTAAATTTGAACAATAGATGATATTAACTGGTCTTCCCTGTAGGTGCATGGATATTATCCTATCATAGACCTTTTGAATGATCTTGATCTGTTCTTTTTGACCGTGAATGCAACACCATTCCTCTTCAATTTATCATTCCTGGCATTGTAAACCATGTGGTTGTCAGATTCAAAATGGCCAATATCAGTCCATTTCAGCTCACTAATGCTTAAGATATCGATGTTTATGTGTTCCATTTCATTTTTTACAATGTCTAATTTTCTTAGATTCATACTTCATACATTCCATGTTCCAATTATTAATGGATATTTACAGCTCTTTCTCTTCATTTTGAGTTGTACCCCATCCACAAATGAAGGCTCTACTCCATTTGCATCATCATGGTCAACTCTACTTTGAGGAGACAGCTCTTCCCAGTTGCACTGAATGCCTGCCAACCTGAGGGGCTCATTTTCCAGTACTATATCTGACAGTGTTTCTCTGCTAGTCATAAGGTTTTCGGTGACTAAATATTCGAAGTAGTTCATCTCTCCTTTCTAGTCTGTCTTCTTCGTCTGGAAGCTCATCTGAAACTTGTCTACCATGGGTGACCCTGCTGGTATTTAAAATACCCATGGAATAGCTTCTACAATCACAGCAACTCACAAGCCACCACAATAAGACAAACTGAAAGACAAGTGGTGGGTCATCAGTCCTAGGGCATCTGTTATCAAATTGTAAACTGGAGCTCTAGGGTCCTGGGGAAACCCTGCCTCCCCTAGGCAGAGGCAGCCCTCCCGACTACCCATTTATTTAGTCTTTTTCTTGCGGTGGGCCTGGAACTCAGCCGTGCCAAAAAGAACATGTGGGTTCATTTTGTAACCAACCTGACTTCCTTGCAATCCCCATCTATGGGCTATTGGGAGAAAAAAATGCAACAAAATTAGTCCATTGTAGAGTTTAGTCTGAGTAGACCATTTTAGCATTCTGGGTAAGTAATGCTCCAGGTGAGGAAAACAGGTGTGTCTCTATTTTCCAGCCCTCATTCTAGTCCCAGTCCAGGCTGGTTTATGAGTTAGCAGAATAGCATGATGGCCTCTGCTTGACTTTGTCTGCTGTCCGAGGCTCTTCCTCGGCACCCTCAGCCTGTGCAGATCTGAATGCTCCCAGGAGCACGGTCTCCCTCAGCCCCTCTGGCAACACACATCCCACAAGGTCTGGCTGCAGTTCCATCAGGCCCTGGGCTGGTGGTCCAATCTTCAGTCCTGGAGTACAGAGGTGTAGCGCCCCTCACTCAGATACATATGTAAGGTCTGGCAGCTATGGCATATGTCCTGGGCACCACTCTCAGGGGGTGTCACTGAGCAGTTTCTATTAACTCTCCTAGTTTCCATCTCCAGCTGTGAGAGATGATTCTGCAAGTTAAAATGACTACTTTCCCATATGAGAGCCCACATGGGTCAAGGAAGGAGCCCTGGTGACACAGTGGGTTAAACACTGGGTTGCTAACAGTAAGATCAGTGGTTCAAGCCCACCAGCCACTCCAGGGGAGAAAGATGAAGACCGTCTACTACTCCTATAAAGTTTTAGTCTCTGAAACCGTATGAAGCAGTTCTACTCTGTTCTGTAGATTACTATGGGTAGGAATTGACTCGACAGCGACGGACTTGGTTATGGATCAAGGCAGACTGTGTGGGCTTACTCTGCTGAATGTAGAATGAGAAGAAAATTACTTCAAGCACATCATAGGACCATTTTCATCAGCAAAAGTGAAGAAAAGTGAGGTTGTAAAGACCATCCCCTGAGCATCAAGAAGGACGAGCAGGACTAGAGCATGAGATCCCTCCCTAGAAAAGCAATGACTGCACAGGCAATAGCATGGAAAGACAGAGGAGCTGTGGGCCCCAGGCCAATGCACTGAGTAAAGCTGAGTACCCACCACGTGCTGGAGACTAGCTTAGAGAATGTGCTCTTTGGGCATTCACAGACTGGCTAAAAGAATTCTGTAACATTTGCCTGAAAAGAGCAGAGGCCAAGCATGGCTGAGAAGTGGATGTCACGAATGAGGCATGCCTGCAGTATGGCTGAAAAAAGACATTGCTGATTGGAAAAGTGCTGCATCCTAAATTGGATTTGATCCTGAATTGTAACCTGTTCGCTTCCCTAATAAAACCCATAATCATGGGGTTGGGGGGGAAATGCAGTTATAATTTGCAAGTAGTACCATTATGTATTAAGTAATAGTTGAATGTGCTTGACTTATATTTTTGTGCTGATGGTGTGGTAAGTTATCTAAAAGAAGGGTGTCCAGTGCTTGGACAGGGGCCCAATTTCACTGCTATTTTCCATTGATAAACCTCATGGGCAGTAAGGACTGTCCATGGGGTTTCTGACAGATACACACCTGCAATCACCCCAGATGGGGAGGAGAGCAGCCCCTCAACCTTGGTCCTTCTCACTTGCACTCCACAAGCCTCACCGTTCCTGCAGCCTCCTTCTTGTTCCCACAACCTCGGGCAGGCAGCAAGGCCATTCCCTATGCTCCCACCTCCACACACCAAGGAGCCTCAGAGCTCATCCAATGAAGGGCTGACACCTCCTCTAAGCTCAGGGAGAACTCTGAGCTCTGATTCAGAAGGGCCAGGCTCTACAGTGGGAGCTAAATCATTTTAGTAAATTCCTTCTCCCCCTCCCTCCCTCTCTCCTAACCTGATCTTGCTACGGAGGGTCAGTCCATACCCTAACCTGAGCAATAAGCCTCGTGACTCAGAGGTGGGAGGGCAGCAAGCATAGCGTGATTGAAGAGGGAACTTGAAATGCATCACTGTAATGTTGGTAAAATATGATGCAGGCTGCATCTGCATCCATCACTCGGTGCTTATCTCAACTCATGTGGCTGAGTCACATTGTCCTGTATTTAATTGTCCCCTCTCCCCCTCTCCTCCACCCCACATCCTAGCCTATTGGCTCCTTGCCTTCTGTATTTCAGTTTTGTCCATTTTTCATCCATCCATCCAACTAGCACTGATTAAGCACCTAATGTGTGTCTTGTTCATCTTCCCAGACCCAGAGCTGGGCCAGTAAGTGTTTGGGGTGGAGAAAGGTCTTTGCTATGCTACTTAGAGCTGACCTGCTGCACCTGTGCTCACTTCATTGGCTTGGTTCTGCTATGCTTTACACCTGTGCCTGTTTCTCACCCCACCCCCACCCTCCACCCACACTACCAGCAGAGTACAGCGCACAGATGATCAGATACAGCTGACTGGTGTCTCACTGAGTCACAGAGCTCAGCTCCCAACTCTGCTTTGCACCATAGTTTTGGGGGGACACCTGTCAGGGTCCCCAGGTTTCAATGTAATGGTGACAGTGAAGTTGCCTCCCACAGTAGGTACCAGACCCAGAGCCAGCCTGCCTCCCTTAGCAAATCCTGTCTCTTCTTTGGCCCCAAGCCAAAGTGAGCAAAGAAGGGGAGACTGTCCCATCAACAGGCTGGTGACTCTCCCTCCAAGCCTGGCCCCATCTTGGCATTTAAGCAGACCAAGTTTGATTATTTTTTTCCATAAATCCCCAGAATTTCAAAAAGCCTCTGATCATAGGGAAATAGTTTAGATCCTTCCCATTTGCCTGAAGAACAATCAGTCTTACTGCCAGTTATCAAATATAAAATGGTAAGGATAAATCATTTGTGCAGCCTGAAGTACACTTCAAAAACTTAAAGACTACCAGACCTGATCATAGAGCAGAAATCCAAGTCCAAGTCCAAATTCAGGGAATCATCAGACAGAAACAAACCTTCAAAGGTCAGTTCATTCATTCCCTTGACTTCAGACAGTGCAATCTTTAAAATGCCCCCAGATGGATGAGAAAGAAGCCTGTTGACTCACTCTACAGACCTTGATTGCACTTAGCAGGGCCCAGACTTCATTAGGTCTGGGGAGCTCCAGGCAGAACCAGCTGAGTGGGCTCCTGGCCTCTGTGCTGGCTGGCCTCTCAGGTCCTGGAGGCCCACATCATCAGCTCAGCTCACAAAGCCACAGCCTAGATGCTTCTCCTGCACACCAGAGCTGTGGCTCATGGTCTGTGTTGACTCATGAGACCTTTGAGAAAATTTGACTCAAGTTGTGGTTTCTATACCAGGAAAAAATGTCTATCTGTAAATTTAGACTGGGTTGCAAATAAAGGAGCCTGGTTGTGCTATGGTTAAGTACCTGACTGCTAACAGGTCAGCAGTTTTGAGCCCACAATCATTCCTTGGGATAAGATGTGGCTGTCTGCTTCTGTAAAGATGACAGTCTCAGAATCTCTATGGGCAAGTCTGTTCTGGCCTGTAGAATCACTGTGACTCAGAATCAACTCAACAGCAACTGGGTGGTTGCTTGGTTGGTTAGTGAACTATTTTGAGGAGCCTGGAAGCCCACCTGTGCTCCTGCCCTTGAGTAGATCCCCCTGGGTCTGCATCTGACCACTTTCTCCTTTTTCTCTTCAGAGGTAGTTCAGCTCAGCCTCGCCCCTGAGGAGAGGGTCAGCATAACCACGGTGACCGTGGGACTGAGCACAGTGCTGACGTGTGCTGTCCATGGAGACCTGCGGCCACCAATTGTCTGGAAGCGCAACGGGCTTACCTTGAACTTCCTGGACTTAGAAGACATCAATGTAAGTCACTTAAGATTTATTCCAAGCTCCAGTGTATCACCCAGGGAAAGAAAGCTGCCCTAGTTACTGGGTGGCAATGACAGAGCCAGAGTTTTGTTCGAACTTCCTGTGGTGGGTGCCTTTCAAGCCTGTTGTCAACCTGGAGGCATCAGAAAATCCAAGTCCACCATATTCAAGAGCAGGATGAGTGGGGGCCATAAACCTGGTAGCTATGCCCAGGATAGAAAAATGTGTATTGATTTGCAGATGCCATGGTGGGCAGGGCAGGAGGCCTCTGGACCTGGCCTGCCTTAGCCAAGGTTGAAGGTGGGCATGAGGATGGTACGTGGAGAAGAGCCGTGTGTACCAGTGGAGGCCACACAGCTTCTGAGGTGGCCCACAAGTCAACAGAGAGGTACCACCAGGTAGAAGGTGGGAAGATGTAGGACAGGAGCAAGCACAGCTAGCTGGGGAGCCTGAGAGGGAGATGCTGGGCCTTACAGCCGGGTAGGATTGAGGCATCCAACCATGAGGGAAGGGGCATTCTTTGTGGAAGGCAGAGGTAAACAGTTGGGCTGGTTGGCTGGAGATCAGGTGCCAGGTGAGGAGGTGGAGGGAAACCAGGTGGAGGGACTTTGTCTTGCTGGTCCTGTTTGCTGGGTGAAGGATGTAGGTTTGATGTTGAGTGGTTCTGTGTGGAAGAAGAGACAGCTGAGCTCCCACAGCATGACATAACAAGCAAGGGGGTACTTTCATTCCCTGAGGACCCGCCAGCCTGGGTTAGGGTCCGAGCATCCCCCTGCACTGATTTGTTACTTTAAGCAATTTCTTAACCCACTCAACCTCAGTGAATTAACCTGTATGAAAACATTATAATTATTAGCAGAATCTTTCTTCTACTGGCCTATGAGGATTAAGTGGATTCATTCAGGCTTATTTATTGGCTCAGATTTGGCACAGGCGTAGTGCATCTTCGCAGAAGTTCACGTGAGAACACAGAGTGATGCCACCCAGGTAGGGAGCTGCCAAGGTGGCTGACTGGTCTCCAGCTACAATAACAAAAAATACAATTTTCAGGCAACATCCTGGTCTTCTTGGCTCAAGATGAGTGATATACTATAAAATGCTTGGGCCAGAGAAGGATGACCTGTAGGATGGTGGCTTCGTTCCTGCTAGCATCTCTAAGGGATGGGCAAGGAGGAGCTGCTTGAGTAGGGTGACCCCATGTGTTGGTATGTCCCCAAAAGGAGACCAGTTGGAGTGTCATAGTTGAAACTTTGTTGCAACCAGCAGAACTGCCTTACAATGGAGTAAGCAACTCGCCCCTAGAGACATACAAGCTGAGGCAGGGACTATCATCAGCAATGCTGTGAGGTGGCTGCTAGTCGCTAAGCCCCATGATTTTGATGGTCCCTCCAATTCCGAGGCTGCTTTGCAGGGAGACAGGAGCCACTGTTCTGCGGGAGTCTATTGCTGCTGTGACCTGGAGATGATGGGAGGGACATATGGGAAGAAGAGGCCCTCTGGAGGCTCTACCCTGGAAAGAGATGGCCAACTGCCCTTCTCCCACCCTGGCCACATTGGGCAGGATGGTTTTCTAGCGATTTCTCCATCATGGTGAGCGTAGCGTGTATCCCTCACGTCTCTGAATGTCAGTGCCAACATGACTCTGGTGGGTCCTTGATGGTGGGCAGAATCCTTTGTCCTCTGGGCCTGAGATGGCCAGGGCTTGTCTAAAATCTCAGTAAGAGAGGACCATGTCTGTTGCCCACAGTAGTGTGGGTGTGGGGATGATATTGTGTTGTGGTGGTGTTGGTGTGTGTGTTGGGGTACCCAGGCTTGTATGCACAAAGCCTCTCAGAACAAGGTACTGATGTGGGGGCATCGGCTTTTAAGCATGTCTTACTGGTGATGATTGATTCAGAACTAAGATGGGGTTCCGTATCTGTCTGAATAGCCATGTGCCTTACCTGGTGCTCTTTTTAGACATCAGAAATAAGGGCAGAGGCAGAACTCTTCTTAATGTACTTACCATGAGTTAATTAAATTACTTTGAGTGTTATTCCCCTCCCTCGAACATGCCTCCAGCGCCAACTCAATTGCATTTCTGCTTTTCACAATAAGGTTAGCAATTTAGGTAATTGTGGGTGCAACAGGAGATTAATGGCCCCTCTTCACTTCCCAGGAAATACTTGCTGCTTGTGGGCAAGTCAGCAGCGCACACACGGAAGGGCCTGGTGCTTCTCAGAAATGCCCACAAGAGGGCACATGTCAGTGCCAGCCTCCCTCCCCATCCCCCCCCGCCCCCCCCCAGTCTTACCTGATGTGCACAGTGCAGACAAGTGCGCACAGACCGGCACAGGGAGCATGGCAGCAGGCCCACAAGTGAGGATCACAGCCTCCAAAATCAAAAGGGTCTGGGCTTAGCTCTCCATTCTGCCACTTACTAAAACTCACAGTGGACATTTGACCTCTCTGAGCCTCAGTTTCCTCAGCAGTGAAATGGGGTAGACAAATAGTACCTGCATCATAGGAGTATACCAAAAACCAAAGCAAACCAACTGCCATCAAGTCAATTCCAACTCACAGTGACCTTCTAGAGCAGAGCAGAGCTTCTCAATAGGGTTTCTGAGGCTGTAAGTCTTCATGGGAGCAGACTGGCAGACTGCTGCTTCTTTTCTCCCTCAGAGTGACTGGTAAGTTTAAACAGCCAGCCTTGCAACTAGCAGTCCAATGCTTAATACACCATGCCACCAGGACTCCTTTCATAGGATTATGTGTTATTAAGTGCCATCAAGTCAGTTCCAACTCATAGTTACCTGTATAGGGTTTGTAAGGATTGACTGGTGGGTGTGAACCTCCAACCTTGTGATTCAACCCAATCTTGCAGTCCAGCGCTTGCCCTACGGAGCCACACTAGGACTCCATGATTTAATCCTTACTGTTATCATAAATGAGATGATGCATGTAAAGTTCTTAGCATATATTGTTACATAAATGCTAGCTGTGGTGTAGTGAAATAGCTAATGTCTCTTCTAGTCAATGGAGAAAAGATTGAAGTTGTCAAGGACTTCATTCTTCTTGGATCAATTATCAACACTCATGGAAGCAGCAGTCAAGAAATCAAACTACATATTGTACTAGGCAAATCTGTTGCACAGGAACTTTTAAAGTGTTGAAGAGCAAAGATGTCAGCTTGAGGACTAAGGTGCACCTGACCCAGGTCATGGTATTTTCAATAACCTCATATGCATGTGAAAGCTGGACAGTGAATAAGGAAGATTGTAGAAGAATTGATGCCTTTGAGTTACCA